ACTCTGGGCACTTAAGACTTCGCTGATCCCACACTACTCCGACCAGGACTCTCCCTTCAATCTCCAGACGTCTAGACGGTCGGGTCCTTGTCTCTGATCTGTGCCACCAAGTGCCGACTTGGCCTTTTTTTTTTTTTCTCCCTCTTCCTTCTCTCGCGCTCCTCATCAGGAACATCATCATCAACGACAGCAGCAATTAACAACATCAACAACAACAACAACAACAACAGCAACAATAACAAAAACGACCAACCCTCTCTCTTCTACACCGACAACTGGTTCAGGATCCCGCATCTGATCAGCAAGGTCCTTTCTTGTTCCCCTTGACGTCTACCGCTCACACACACACACACACACACACATATATATATATATATATACATACATACATACACATACACACCCTCTTGTCATAATCATCCTGCTCTTGCGCACTCCTTTCTGAGTTCACCTTGCCTGCGCGCCCTCACACCCCCCTCCCTTCTCCCGCAATCCCAAGCAGGCTACGCCGTCTGCACACGCCCCTCCCCAAGGTTTATCTCACTGGTCTCGCCGTCGATTCTTTTTGGTTGCCGTCGTCGTCGTCGTCGTCGTCGTCGTCCCTGTAGACTCGCCACATAGGACGCACACTCTGTCGGCGTACAAAGATCCCCCGTCTTGGCCAACGACGACGCCTTGGTCCTCCCCCTTCCTCCCCCCCTCCCACCCCCATCTTTTTCTTCTTCTTCTTCTTGCCCTTCTACGCTGTTCGTATACGCTCGCCATGACCATGACCATGGACACATCACAGCAGCGTTTCGGGTCCGCCCTAAATATGGAGTATCACCAGCACCCTCAGCCTCCGACCTTTTCAAACCCTTGGACCTCGTCATCGTCGCCCCCGCAGCCCGCCTCCAACGGTGCGATGTTCGTCGGTGGCCCTCACCAGCAACCTCCTCTCAACCCGAGCCTCATCACCGGCAAGCCCCACGACGGTCGCACCGGCAGCAGCGGCGGCGGCGGCGGCGGCGGAGCGCCTTCTCTCCCTCCCTACGGTTCTATCCCCGTGACCTCATCCGCCGACATGATGAGCCTGAACCGCATGCCGCCCACGTCGGCGCCCTACGGAGAATCGCCCTACACGAGCACGGCGTCGCCCGTCGGCGGCCAGTTCGCAACGTCGGGTGCCTCGTACGACCCCATGGGTTTTGCTCCGCCGGCGGTCCGACCTCCGTTTGGCATGGTCGGCGAAGCTGAGCGATCCGCGAAATACTCTTCACCGTCGGTCCCCTACCCCCTCTCCGCGTGCTCGGCACAAGACTGGGAAGAAGACGGATGTGCTGACACTGTACGACGGCAAAGACACCTCCAGCAGCAGCAGCAGCAGCAGCAGCAGCAGCACCAGCAGCACCAGCAGCAGCACGACCATGAGCGGAGAGGCTTTGCCGATGCTCTCGACGCCAGCCACGGAATGCTCGCCATGAGCCAGGAGACACCTAGGAACATATACGGCACGCGCAATGACCGGTCATCGATCGACTCGTACGGCTTCCCGTCGACGCACTCGACCAGCTCATCCATCTCGTCGGGCGGCAACTTCAGCTCGTACTACGGCGGCGATTCGGTCTCGGACTACTCGACGGCCGGGTCCGATATCGAGTCGGTCAACTCGAGGACGCTCCCCCGTCCGCACGGGTTGATGGTGTCGCAGATGCCGCCAGCCCCGCAGTCGATGATGGGCCAGTTCAGCTCCAAGGTGTCGTCTAGCACGCAGAAGAAGCACAAGTGCAAGGTGTGCGACAAGCGATTCACCCGTCCCAGCTCGCTGCAGACGCACATGTACAGCCACACTGGAGAGAAGCGTGAGTTTTTTCTTCCTCTCTTCTCTCCTCTCTTCTCCCCCCCCCCCCTCTCCTCCACTCTTCTCCGTTCCTCTCTCTTCTGGGTTCCATCGACTGACATGTTTCACGTCTAGCCTTTGCATGCGAAGTCGAGGGCTGCGGTCGTCACTTTTCCGTCGTGTCGAACCTGCGTCGCCACCGCAAGGTGCACCGTGGGGAGGCTCGCTCCGAGGCTGGCTCCGAGGAGCACCAATCGGATTAGAGAGGAGAGAGCGGAAGAGTTCGACCAAAGGAACAACAGTATATACAACGACAGCAGCAGCAGCAGCAGCAGCAGCAGCAGCAGCAGCAACAGAACGCTCTCGCCTGGCCGAGATCTGCACAGCATCAACTCCTCCCATACTCGAAGACAGCCGACGCCGGAAACCGTTGGGTCTACCGAGATGCACAGCTAAGGTCGATGGCTTCCCCGTCGCGCCGTAGGCGCTGGCACGAGAGGGATCGCAAGACGACGACGACGACGACAATGACGATGACACCAACTGGACACCAGCTCCTCCACCTCGATTTGGAATATATCGAGGACACAAGGCCTTGTCAGAGAACAAGACGAACACACTCTTGCGCCCCCCCCTCTCCGCTCACGATCAGCCACGGAGGAAGGGGGACACACCCCATTCGCTACGCTGTGGTGGCAGAATTCGAAACGATGAATGAACCGATGGGAATGGTTTTATCTTTATTTTTTATCTTTCAATTTCTTTGCAGAAAAAAAAGTACAAGGGGGAGACATGATGGGTATCTTTTTTCTTTCTATTTTTCTTTTTCTTTTCCGAGGAGGAATGTATGAGATATATATACCCGAGTAAAGGAGGCGTTTTTCTGGAGTCTTCTCCCTCTTCTTTTTATTTACTTTTCTCTGTCAGTCTTTTCCTGCGCAGTATACGTTGCAGACTGTCTTGGATTTCATGTTATATCGGGAGGGTCATTTTGTTCAGATATATTTTTTTCTTTGGGGGGAGTTTGTTTACTTGTACACTATGTGGTGGGAGGTTACGACTTGGTGGTCTTGGGCGGGAAGGAATGGAAAGGACTTGCATATTATTTTCTTGTCCAGTGATTACCCCCCCCCCCCCCCCCCCCCGTCATGTCTTGTGATGTCTTTTATGTTCTTTCTCTTTCTTCCTTGGTGATGTGAGTTGTAACATGTATTCCTCTGCAGCGTGATGTAAATGGTGGGGTTTCGGTCGGCTACTAGTACGGAGTAGTACTATGCTGTAACTGATCCTTGACGGGACTACATGTAGTAGTATCTATTTGTAGTGAGGAGAAGAAGGGGGGGAGGAGGCGAATAGATGGAGAGGATGAGAGTGATTTTTTTTTTTATTCATTCGTTTCTTTGTTCTTTTTTTTCTCTTCCTTGATTTTCTTTGGTCTCTCTTTTTTCTATCCTATATAATCCGGTTTCTTCCCCGGTGTTTCCTAGTTTAGAATGATTTTTTTTTTGAAGGCGGTGAGTTGATCTCTCTCACTCTCCCTCTCTATCTTTAAAAAAAAGAAGAGTTGCTATTATTATCATGATTCGTTGTGTTTTTTTTTTCTATTTCTTTTTTTCTTTTTAGTGATGCCATATTTTTTAGCGACATGCTGACATCGCCACGTTTGGAGTTGATATTTGGTTACATGCATGGGAGAACACTAGCAGACGCCGCATCTTTCAGGGTAAGATAGGAGGGGGTGGTATGGGCTAGGAGTATTTCAGACTCATGAATACAGATTATATATATAGAGTAGAAGATGTGCAGACAGACCAAAAAAAAAAGGGGGGGGGGGGGGGGGGGGGGGGGGGGGGGGGGGGGGGGAGGGGAGGGGGAGGAGAAGAAGAAGAAGAAGAAAAAGACGACGACGACGACGGCGTTTCAGAAGATGACCATCATTTCCCCGTCGTGGATCCTGTCATGGCAGTAATTACAACTTATGGGTCATATCGTGCGCCGCTACCAACAAAAAAGGTACGAGAGAGAGTACGGAGTACGGAGTGGTAATTCTCTATGCAGAAACTAGGAGGTAATTTACTCGTGCAAAGGGTCAATTCAAACATTTATGGATACACAGTACAGATTAATGCAACTAACCAGTCCGACTATTCACAATGGATATTATCATGTCATTTGTTTTTTATATTTCATTTCAATTTTTATCTCATCTTATTCTGTAAAAAAAAAAAATAATAATAATAAATAAAATACATAAAAAAGGTCAAGTTTTGTTTGTGCGAGTAAATGTGTATGTTTGTGTGTGTGCGGCTGTCGTGAGTGGTGAGGGGGGGTGGGATGAATAGTAGCCATATTACAGCGGAATAATTTACCGTACGGAAACGGGTGTATAGATTAACCCGAAAGATGGTGCTTTTCCTAAACTTTGTACATGAAAAAAATAGATAAATAAGAAAAAAATTGTGAAAAAAAAAAGATTTAGAAAATATCGTGAGCAAAAAAAAAAGAAAGAAAGTCAATAAGAGAGAATAGTAAGAAAACAAATAAGAAAGATAGCTTAATAAATAAAGATTGTTAATAGAATATAATAAGAAAACCTAAGAAAGGGTAATAAGAAGAAGAAAACAAGAAAAATAATGTGCTGTATTATAATAGCCACTTTTTATCATACGTGAATCATGCCAACATAATATATATATATCGTACGGAGTAATCTGTACAATACTTCATCCAAGAGGACTGCGACATCTGTACAGCTGTACATGTGCTACATATCTCGTGCCTAGATACTGTCGTCATTCCCTTCTTCTTTTTCTCATTTCCATCTTCATCTTCCATCTTCATTTTTATCCCTTCTACCTTGATTCATAACCCCCCCCGCCGCCGTACTCTCTGACCAACCTCCCCTCCCCCCCACAAGAAAACGTATTCCCCCTCCCTTAATGACGTAATATAGGTTAGACCCCCTCCATCCCCCCTTTATGTACGAGTACTTGTATGCTAGAGTACAGAGACGGCTTACATGATGATGTAATCATACTTCGCGGGTCGGGATGGAGAGCCTTGGCACCCCGCTGTACGGACTTACGGAGGGAGTATCCGTACAGTATCAGGACATGGATTCATGTTCATGTACAGATTATATTGAAATGTGCTCTGTATCCCCCCCCCTTCCCTACAGGCAGGTAGAAGCGCCTGATCTTCAGGGTCCTACTATACCTGGGAGATGGTGGTTGATCTGGAGGTTTTTCTTTTCTCTCTTTTTTCTTCTTTTTTCCTCTTTTTTTTCTTCTTCCCTTCCTCCTTTTTTCGTTTTTTTTTCTATTCCCTCTTCTTCTTTCCCTTCCCCTTCTCCTTTTTTTCAACCTCATCAAGATACAGGTACGTGTTGAATTGTTACTTTTACCTTGCACATCTGTCCATGTGCTGGGTTACCTCTATATCATGCTTTCCCATCAGTCGTGACCAGTCATCGTCATTCCAGACCCACGGCCCCCTCCCCCGCCGCCATACTACTACTACTACTACTACTACTACTACTACTACTACTACTAATAATAAGAATAAGAAGAAGAAGAAGAAGAAGAA